CTTTCCCCCAAAAATATATACATACAGTCATCATTTTTTAATATTTTTCTTCAACGAAAAAAACCTTTTAAAACCTAAAAATTATTTTTTTCTCAAAAATCATTGCCATTTTTATAACCTCCAACAAACAAAAAATGTCAAATAATTCTTTGCATTTTAGATTTATTTTTCTCTCCTTTTTTTAACCTTTAAAATTTAAATTTTATTAATTTTTAAATATTTTATTTTCTAAGAATATTTTCTTAAAAACTTTTTTAATAAAAATTAATTTAATTTTTAATTAATTATTTGTGTGGTGAATCGTTTTTAGAAATTAGTTGAATAACTATGTTTTAATAACGATATCCAGGAAAAAAACCGAAAATAAAAATCTAAAATAATTTTCTTTAATTTATTGTCTTAACAAATTTTATTTTTCAAATCTAACATTAAGTTTAGAATTTCTTTTATCAAACATTCCTTAATTATCAACAGTTTAATACGTGTCGGGCGAAAACACGGAACGGACAAAACAAGGAATGACCAAAACACGGTTTAGAGGAATAATTATTGTTTGAAAAAAACCTTGTTTTGCCCCTCACCCGTTTAATTTTAATCACTCAACTCTTAATTTAAATTTTATTTTTAAAAGAAATTACCGATTTAATTAAATATTATTTAAAATTATTTAGTTATTATCTTAGATTTGTTTCTAATCTCTCTCTTTATCCTTTTAAATATACCTTGAATATTGTCAAGGTCATTTTTACTACTATATTACATTACTAATATTTTTTATTCTCTAAAATTTAATTAATCTCTCTGATAATTTTTTGTTTTATTTTGGTTTTTTACCAAAACTTTAATAATTAATTTAATTTTTTAAATTTTAAATAAATCACCACAATTTTCCAACCTTCCCAACCTTTCCACCTTCAAAATATTACCTTTTTTTCATTCTTTTAGTAGTTTTATGTACAATTATTTGCATTTCCCTACAAAACCGATCGATGAGTTAGAAGGTCGGTCTCCTATTTTCCCCTGAGAAAGGGCCCCCTTTACAGCAACTATAACAGAGCAAAGACTTGCGCGGGGATGGTTTGCTTTTTAGTTGGAGGAGGAATGGACAGAAGAATTACTTTATATTGATGATGGCCAGTCAGAAAAGCCTTTACTTAAATTAAAATACTAAAAAGAGTTTTTAACTAAAAAGCCTGAAGATTATCTGTAATTACTCAAAAGAAATATGAAAAACTCTCCATTAGAACAATATTTACTTAAAATATGACAGTCGATATTGTTTGCTTTTATCTTCATGATCAGCACTTTATCATCCCCAAGTTGTATTTTTTTATTATTCTTCTTATAATTTGAAACATCTCAATTAGCCATCAAAAATACCCTTTAAATTCAAAATAAATCTCCCCATATTTCCTTGACTCGATTATTTTTTAGATGTCAAGAGAGTATAATTATTGTGTAAACCGGAAGGGGGTAATTATAAATAATAGGTAGGATGTAATATTTGAGTAATTTTCATCATCATATAATTTTCATTAATAATTTATCTTCAATTATTGTCTCCTTATTTATTTTAATTTAACCAAATTACATTTTAATTAATTTTTGCATTAAATAATCACTAACGTTCTTCTTTTAACTATTTAATTTTAAATTTTAAATTATTTCTTTTTCCAGTTTTTCCTCCTCTTTTTTCCCCAAATCACCGTCTTCAATGTTTTCCTGTCGAATGCGCAAGTAAACTCGCTCCACTGACCAAAAGAAAATCCCTCAAAAAATACAAGCAATCACACAAAATGCTTTAAAAAATACAAAAATAAAAAGCAAAAGAAAAGTTAAAATATTTACGCGAGAGTGGAGGGGAGGGGGGAGGAGGAGGGGCCCTCTTGCCAAAATAATTTTTTTTCTTTACCGCAAAAAGCACTCGATTGGTGCTCTCTTTTCTTTAAAGTCTTTAGGCCCCGATCACTTCTTTTTCCCCCAAAATAAATAATTTTTTCGTCTTTTTTCTCTCCTCAAATATGTGAGCGCCTGACCGGTCTTTGTCCACTCTAAAATTTTCTTCTTTTAAAAACTAATAAATAAATAAATATTAAATATATTTAACAAAACTTCCACGCAATACTTTTATAATATATTTTCTTTTCTTTATATCCCCCCACTAACTTCCCGTAGCCCTTCAACAACAACAAATAAATTAAATATAAAAAAAGTATTTATTTATTGGTTGCCCCATTTCCTTAATTTTATTTATTTATTGTGTTTATTTATTTAAATCTCGCCGTTGCGCCATCGCTCAATAATCGATTATAGCTTTAACTAATTAATTAATTAATTAAAATTGTCATTTTTAAATATAAAAAATTTACAAATTTTTTATAGAAATAAATTAGTTTTTGTTAAATAAATTAATTAATTTTAAAAATATTTTTTATGTCAAAAAAACTTCTATTAAAATTTAAATACTAAATAAAATCTTTTTTTTTCTAATTCTTTTAAAACTTTAATTTATTTTTTATTTGTTTGTTTGTTTTTCTTTCTTTAATTAAAAGATTTATTTAATTATGTATTTTAAGTATCAAAACACAATTTTCAAAATTTATGTATATCAACAATTTTTGAAATTAAAAAAAGAACGTAATTTTTAATTCTTTCGATTTTTAATTTTAATATTTATTTATTATAAAGATTTAATGCTAAAATTAACTAATTTAAATTTCATTTCCCTCCTTCTCTCTTTTTTTCATAATTTCCATTTAATAATAAAAACAAAAAAACAGGTTTATTATTATTTAAAAAAGTGCTTCTTTCTTTCATTAATTTATTAATAACTGCTTTTTTTATTTTCTTTATTTTGTAGCAATTTATTTTTATTTTTGGCCAATTTACGTACATTAATTTAAAACAGTTTCTGACACTGTTCTACCATTTTTGGTTGTTTTTATAAATAAAAGATAATTTTTGTAGAAAATTAATTGGAAAAAATGAGAGAAAAAATAAAATAAATAAAAATAAATTTTTGAATTTTAAATTAATTTTTAAGAAAAACTTTTTTTCCTTCTAAATAAATACATAAATTTTTAGTAAAAATGGACAAAAGAAAATTTGCTTTTTTAAATTGATTTTTGTTTAAATTTGCATAATGAAGGAAGAAATCTTTAAAAATATTTTTAGCTTTAGAGACAGACAAATAAATTTTTTAAAAAAATTATTTATTTTAGTATAGGTATATCCTCTATATTTTTTTTTGAAAATTTTTATTTAATCTTAAAAGTAAAATAAATTCTAATTATTTTTTTCCTTTCAAATCATTAAATAAAAGTAATCAAGCTCTAAAAAATATTTTTTTAAGAAGGGCCACCTCCACCTCTATAACAATTATCGTTTTATAATTACACATGTCCTTTTCGCTATATTCTTCATCCAGAAACATGTTCCTCCTCCTCCTTCTACTCCTTTCTCCTTCTTAAGTTGCAAGTATTTTAATCGTTTTTATATTTTAGAAAATAAATTTAAAATTAAAAATATAAATTACAAAACAAATTTTTTTATATTTTACATATTTTAAAATTTAAACACAATTAAACCCCTCTTCATACCCAAATCCTCACAAAAAATGCAACAATTCTGGCCACCCACATATTTTTTAAATATTCTTTCCCGAAACATATTTTGTTTAATAAAAAAATTAATTAATCTTTTAATACATTCCCCGTCCAAAATTAGCCGAATATTTAATATATTCTTTTATTTTTTATAAATGAGCGGCTTTTTTTCTAATTTTATAGGCGCGTGTTGATAATAAATAAATATATAAATAAATATTATTTTACTACCTTTGCTTTTTTTATCGCAAAAAATTCTGGTAATTGTAAACCTAGGCAGGCAACAACCGTCATTAATGGAGAGCTTTTTAATTGAAAGAAAGAGAGACTAAAAAATAATTATTTAATTAAATAAAGAGATGTTTTAAATATTTAAATAATTAAAATATATCTTTAATATCTTCAATTAAAAATTTCAACCAAAAATATTTTTTATTTAATTTAATTTTTTATTTTAAATAAATAAAATATAAATAATTTTAAAAAATCTTTTTTTTGTTTTTTATTTACTTTCACATAATAAATATTTAATAATTTACAATAATCTTTAATATCTAATCTATTAAAATAAGGAAATAAATAAATAAAATTGTAAAACTTTTTTTTGTTAAAATAATAATTATTTACTTTTATTTATTTAATAATTTAAACTAAAATAATATTTCTAATGTTTTTTTCAGTTCCTCAAAAATATTCCTTCGAAAACAGATTTTTATCGTTTTTTTGAAAAGTCATTTTTTTCAGTCATTTTCTTTTCTCTTTTCCCGCACAAATAAATATTTTGAATTAATTTATTATTTATTTCCCCGTTCGTTTCTTTAATGCGCACAAATCTTTAAAATTTATTTTAAATGATTTTTAGATGTTTTTATTTATTTAGGAATTAAATATTAGAAAGTTGGAACAAATTTATTTAAATTTAATTTAAATTAGAAATTAAAAAAAATTCTAAATATTAAATTTAATTTTTATAATTAAAAAATTTTTTTTTCTAATTCTAGAAGAGATTTTTTTCTATTTATTTATCTTTTGTTTTCCTTTTTTATTTTCTTTCCCAACGCCTTATCAGCTTATTCGGATCTTTCTCATTAAATAAAAAAATATTTTTTTAATTCTTTAACCCTTTCTATTAAGTAAGTAGCTTTTTCTCTAATTATTCTTTTTTATTCAATAAATTCCAAAACTTTTAGTAAATAATTACAAATAAATTTAGAAAAACACAAAAATTCTGTATATTTATTATCTGAAAATTGATGTCAGATTTAAAATATTTTTAATTTTTATTTTCTTTTAAATAAATAAATTTTTACTAATTTTTTAGAATAAATTTACATATATACTTAATTTAAATTCAATTCAACTTATATTCAATTATAATTCTCTTTTTATTTTTGAATGCACTCACAACAACAACAACAACAAAATCCTCCACATTCCCACTCATTTACGGCAGCACTAAATTCGGCGGCTGTTTCCGGTGTTGGACTTAATAATAACAATCTTCTTCCTCCTCTCGCAACAACAACAACAATCCCTTCTTCTTTAGCCATTGATTCATCATTTTCATCCTCTGGTAGCGAATCTCCCTCATTGTCATTACAAACTGGGACGGCCGATGATTCTCTAAGTACAATAGAAAATCAGAGAATTATGCAAATGGCTGCTGGAACGGATACAGCCTCTACTTTGGGTGTAAATGATGGACCTATAAATTTACAAATTTTTGTTCCTGAACTTCAAATGCAGGTAAAATTAAATTTTTTTGAAAAAATATGAAAAGAATTTTTTAGTTCAGTTTATTACAACTAAATTTTTTTCTCCTTTTTCCTTATTTTTTAAGTAAAAAATTCTATAAAAAAGGGATTGACAGATTTCAAACCATTAAAAATCGGTATTTGAGAGTCAATTGTTTTCTTATTTTAATTAATAGCTTTAATGAGCTAAATGGCCGTAAAAAGAATTTTTGTCTGAGATCAACTTTCACGTCTTTTTTTAAGCCTTATTTAAAAATTTTTCTAGAATTTCTATAAATATATTTAACATATAAATATTTATTTATTTATTTTAAACTTATCTAGTATCATTCTTTACTTAATTATTTTTGACTTTTTGTGTGGTATTATAAATTAATTCTTTCGGCCACCAATCAAGTGTTTTGTACTTGCTATGTTGTAATGATATGTATCTTATTTTATTTTTTTCCTCTCCTTTTTTCCTCATTTTTTTCATTCCTCCTTCCCAAATACCTCCAATTAATACTTAGCATTTATTTTATTTTTTCTTCATTACTTTTGGCCGCCGGAGGGCTTACTCATAAATTTAAGTTAATCAACAACAACAACCAACTAAATATATTTATATATTCTGGAAATTCTTATAGTACAAATTATTTATTTTCCTCCTTTTTTTCGTTATTATAAGCAACAATTTAATTTATTTTTAACCTTTTAAAAATTAAAAAAAAAGAAAAACATTTTAAATATTAGCTAATATTTTCTTTTAAACTTTAATTAAGTTTTAGTCTCCTTTTTTTAGTTTTTTGCACATTTTTTACGAAATTTTATCTAATTTTCTCAGCTTATATTAAAAGTGCTTTGTGTAGCATTTTTGAGGTAACCGTGAACTTGAATATTCCTTTATTTTGCTTTACCTTTTTTTGTTTTTTGAAGAAAAAATATATTTAAAATGCAAAAAATATATTTATACTTTGAGTAAATAATTGTTTGATTATTAATGTACTAACTTTTTATTTTTTATAACTCTAATCTTTAACCAGATGTATATTATATTTCTTTGCCAATTTAAATAATAAAAAACCTGGATTCTTTAATCTAAGAAACAAAAATATAAAATATCTTTGTACCACTAAATATATACATACCGTATTTCCTAAAATAGTACTCCCCCTTGAATTAGTACTCCCCCCTTAAATAATACTCCCCTTTGGAGTAGGATTGAAAAATAATACTCCCCCCTGAATTAGTACTCCCCCTAAAATAATACTCCCCCCAAAATATTTTCCCCAATATCTGAAAAAATAATAAAATAGGATAAATTTTACTAATTAAATTATTTTGTTTAGGATTAAGGGGATATATTGTGATTAGTTGGTGGGGTAAAATTGATTTGAGGGATATAAATGGATTGATTTCGGGTGATAATGTAGTTTGAATTGATCAAGGGGAAATAAAAGATATTATTGGATTAAGGTTGGATAAAGAAATTTGAGGGTATAATGACGGATGAGTAATATAAGATGATTTTGGTTGATTTAGAATGATCAATAGATAAAATTGAAACATGAATCCTTCTCAGTCCACCATATTTGTTAACTACCCATCAAAGCCACAATATCCTATTTTATCCCCTCGAATTTAGTCCCCAAATTCCCTGACATCCCTACTAATCCCTCAATATCCTTTTTAATCCACATAAATTTTTCGATATCCACCTTAATCCAACGATATGTATCACTCTTAATTGCTTAAATCCCCTTATATCCCTCGTTGTCACTCCAGATCCACTGATATACTTCTTGATATCCCTCAATAATCTTTATTTTAAGTCACTTGTGTTTTAAATGTCCCGCCTTTTATAACAATTTGGATATTTTATGCGAATTATAAAGGAATTTTTTTGAAAATCCATGTACGGACCCGGAATTTTTCAAATTACGAAATCTAATTGATTTAGACATTTAGAATTTTGAAATAAATTTTCCCAGATAAATCAGTGAGGAAGGTTGAAAAATAGTACTCCCCCCTGAATTAGCACTCCCCCCTTAAATAGTACTCCCCTTTGGAGGAGGGTTGAAAAATAGTACTCCCGGGAGTACTATTTTAGGAAATACGGTAATTAAGTATAAAGCTCATCCGTATATCCGGTTCCGAAAAAAGATAACAAAACTAATACTTAAAAAAGATAACAAACTTATAACAAAACCTGAAATGCAAAAAGCCAGCAGTAACTATCCTTGTTACTTTAAATTCGTAAAATTTATAAGCGATTGACTGGTTTATAAACTTAGATATTTTTATTATTTTTTGAAATTTAATGGCCAGTTTTTGGTACTCATCCTTGTATTTCGAATAGGGCTTATTTTTCTCGTACTTGTCCACAGAAATGATTGCAAGTACTAATTTAGATATAGCTTACAAACACAAAACATTAAATCTATATTACTTTAAATATATTTATAGAAATGTTTGTCAGTGCCATTAGATGAATTTGTTTGGGATATAAAACAGCGTTTATTTGAATCATTACCTCAACAATTAAATCAGTATTTTAATTATGGACTTTTTCTTCCTCCCTGTGATGGCAGGGCTGGCAAATTTTTGTTAGATGATAGACCTTTACGTGATTATCCTTTTCATGATTGTGCTCCTTATGTTGAGGTATCTCTTTGTTAATATTTGTTCTTAATTTTATATAAATTTCAGTTAAAATTCAAGAAAAGAGTTTATAAAATGTTACGATTAGATGAAAAAACACTTCGTTCTGTCCATTCAAAAAGTAATTTACGTAAATTCTCTGAGGCTGTACAAAATAAAAATATTCAAAAATTGGATCGTTTATGTCAACAGGGATTAGATCCAAACTTTCACGATTCTCATGGAGAAACTCCTCTTACTTTGACTTCTGGTATTCCAGGAAGTCAGCAAGTAATTGTTCAGTTGGTTGGTGGTGGTGCTCATTTAGATTTTAGAAATACTGAGGGGCAGGTAAATGAAATTTTTATTTTTTGTTTTTTAAGAGATTTATAACTCTTAAATTATTTTAAAAACATCCGAGCTTTTGAGCGACATATCTTATCTATTTTAAATTCAGAGTTATCATTTCAAACCCTAGTTTTGTAAAGAAAAAAAGAAAAAGTTTTTATTTTACTAATTTTTTCTATTAAAAATTATAGACAGGAATGCATAAAGCCGCATTTCTTTCTGTTGCTGAAAATGTTCGTGTTTTGCTTGAATTGGGTGCTTCTCCAAATTATAAAGATTTAATTGGATTAACTGTTAGTTTTTGTTGTTAATTACGTTTTTTCTTTTAAATTAATGGTTTTTCTTTACTTATTTAGCCTCTTTATTATAATATGCTTAATGCTGAATCTAATGCAGAAGTAACAGAAATGTTGTTAGCTGAGGCAGCTGATTTAGATATTGTTGATATGCATGGAAATACAGCATTACATCAGGCAATATTTTCTTTCAAAATTTTTTTTTCCAAAATTTATTTTTAAAGGCTTGTAAAAACGGACTTTGTAAACATACAGAACAATTAATTTATTATGGGGCAAATATAGATGCCCGTAATATTAACGGGAATACTCCCCTTCATGTTTGTGCAGTCAATGGACGTGTAGAATGTGCTCAATTATTGTTATATAGAGGTGCTGATCCTTCTTTAATTAATGGAAATAATCAAACTGCTGTACAAGTTGCCCAAATTGTTGGGAATATGGCTGTAGCTAATGTTATTCTTGGTCATTCCCCTCAAAGTGTTGGTAAGGAAAAGTTTTTTTATATTTTTAGAATTGTCAAAAGTTTTTTTTATAAATTTTTAGAATTATTTTTCATAATTTTACACAAAAAAAAATATTTTTTTTAATTTTTAAAATTATTTTTAAATTTTTTTACATCCTCTTTTTGCTTTAATTATTAATTATGTCAATCTCTCACTTTTAATTTGACACTATTTATTTCCAGATCCTTGATTTTTATTAATTTTCCCAATTTATTTTTTATGCCATCTCCGTGTTCCACTAAATAATTAATCCAAAATTCTAATTTAATGACCAATCAAATAAAAAGAGAGATCTAATTAGTTGTGATTTTATGAGAAATATCCGTTTTCTTATTTAAAAAAAATAATTATTTAATTTTTAAAATTTAATTTACCGTATTTATTCTAATAGAAACACATCTCTATTTGAACCACAGTCTCTAATATAAGCACAAAATTTGAGAGGTTGAAAAATATAACCACAGTCTCTATTTGAACCACATCTCTATTATAACCACATATTAAAAGATTCAGGTTAGCGATGTAGTATAAAGGTTTTAAGGTTATTTTTGCGTCCTTAGCTTTTATTCGGTCAAATTTACGCAAATTTTGATCGAGACTGAGTCCATTTCAAGCGACTCAGGTGGAAATGTTTGAGTCTTCAAATGTCGTGCAGTCAGGAATTCTTTTTTTAAAAAATACCAAAAAATAGGGAAATCCCAAATCCGGACGGTATTATAAGACGAGGTTGGAGTACTTTAAAGAAAGGCGTTTAAGACTCGATCAAAACTCGTTGTTCAAGACTGTACTGAATCAAGAATTTACGGAGTGAATGGAGGTCTGTCCCATCTGCACGATCCGAAAAACCGAATCGCAACCTTCGGTTATCCGAACTGATGGATGAGTCCAGCGCCATAGGCGAAATTTTAGAGAATATTGGAAAGCGAAGAACGACCAAATTGATTAAAAATTATAATTATTTCTGGAGTTGTATGACAAAAAAATTACTGAAATTTCCACATTTTTCAAAAAACTTGATTGAAAAATAAAACCACAGTCTCCATTTGAACCACAGTCTCTAATATAAGCACAAAATTTGAGGGGTTGAAAAATAGAACCACAGTGGTTCTATTAGAATAAATCCGGTAATTTAAAAATAATTTTATTAAATTATATTTTTATTTAAATTATTTACTTTTAATTTACTTGTACTACTCATTCTCCCAAACTCTTCTCGTTCTCCAATACTTTTTACAAAAATAAAATTTTCTTCCTACTACTTCAATAATTTCTCTTCAGCCGATTTTCCGGTGCCGCGACAAAATTTTTTTGTTCATTTATTTTATTCCATTACTTTTTTTAAAGAAATCTTTGCGCGGATTAATGACGTTCCTTCAATCTCTAATTTTCTCTTATTTTTTTGTTAGTAGCCATGATTTGAGGAAAATTGGATTAATTAGTGCAAAAGCAAGTAAGCCGAACAGCCTCCACTAATTCACCGAATGTGAAAGAGAAGAAATATATTTTTAAGTAAATTTGGGTGAAAATAAATTTATTTTTGTTAAAAAAGTGTTTATAATATATATAGAGAGAGAGAGTACATAAATGTGTGTCTAAAAATTAACATTTATTGAGATATTTTAGTGGATTTGTTTGTGTTGACTGTCCACTTTAATTAAGTTACTACTTTGTGTTCCATCTAAAACACAAATTTTCTGGATGGAAGTGACACCATTTTCTTTATATAATTATTTTTGGTTATCCCATATAAATTACATATAAAATTAAATCTTTATAAGGATTTACATTAATTATGTTTTCCTCCTCTTCTCAATATATCTCCCCCTCATTTCTCCCCTCTTATTTGCCTTACTGGCAACAACATTTAAATTCTTCCAATTCCTCTACTACTTCCTCAATGTTTGTTTTTCTTTCATCAAATAATAGTTCTTTATCTTATCTTAACAATAATTATCAACCAATTTGTTATTATGGATTAATACAACATAATAATAATTTATTAAATATAAGAGGAGGAGGTTTAAAATTTAAAAATTCTAAAATAAAACTAAGTTTAAATTGATAATATATTAAAATATTTCTTTTCAGTTCCTTTCCTTGAACCTCCAAGACTTAACACTCGACGTCGACTTTCTACCCGTCAATCCCAAGATGGAAGTATTATTAGTATGTCTCGAAGACGTTCACTTTCACATTGTTCTTCTTCATCTACAATTGCTTCTAGCCATCCACATAGATATTCTTCTGTTAATGTTAATCAACAACTTCAAGAACAACAACAAGTAATTATTTGATTGTATTTTTAAATATATTTATTTTTTATTTTTAAAGATTCCAATAAATAATCAAAACCCATCCATGACAAGCTCAACCAGCGAATATGGAACTTTAAGAAGAATTCCTGCAAATACAGTCCAACATCAACAGCCAGGATTTGAACCAAATACTCCACGTATTTTAGTTATTCCAAGAGGGCCTAAAGGTTTTGGATTTATACTACGAGGAGCTAGATGTAAAGAATTTTTTTAGAAATTTTGTATTCTCTTATTAATTATTTTTCAGATGCAGATTCAATGCAATTAGATTTTCGTCCAACATTAACAATTCCGGCACTTCAATTCTTTGAAGGTGTAGATATGCAAGGAATGGCAATGCGCGCTGGCCTTAGACCGGGAGATTTTTTACTTGAAATTAATGGAGTGGATGTTAGGGCAGCAAGTCATGAACAAGTTGTTGAATTAATACATCAATGTGGAGATACAATTACAGTTAAAAATTAATTTGAAAAGAAAAAATTTAAAGAAATATTTTAGTTAAAAGTTGTGACAATAGATGTTGATCTTTTGGCAAGAGAACAACAATTACAAAATACTCAACATTTACAACAACAAATATATGCTAGTAGTTCGGGTATTAATTATGCAACTGTTGGGAGAAGAAATCAGTCTGGTAAAATTATCTCGAATAAAATTTTAAAAATCATAAATACTGCTAGGAGAGAATTCTAAATTTTAAATATTTACTTTCCAAACCATTTAAATCCCTAATATTATCTAGTGACATTTAGTCTATAGTTAAAGAATAGCCTTTTTAAATTAAAATATTACTTTTAAATTAATTTAGTACCACGGCTTAACGGTTCTACTACAACAGAAAATCCAGCAACTTTGCCCCCTCCACCACCTCCTCCTCCACAACGTGATCCATCAACAACTCTTTCTTTTGGTCGTCGTTCATTTGCAGCTTCACAATTTACTGCTGGTAAAAGAAATTTTTTAAAAAATATCTTTAAAAAATTATTTAAATAGCAGTAGATGTCCATAATTATTCTCCAAATAATTCAACACTTCCTTGTGATGTTCTCCCAAATTCCTCTGTTACTTTTCCTCAACAACAATTAACTTTTGTACCAATAGAACAACAAACTCGTTGTGCTTCTGTTAAACTAACTAAATCTGTTCGTCGAATTTCTGCTGCAGAATTGGAGCATTTAATGGTGCAACAAGGAAGTAGTAATTCTTGTGATCAACAAAAACAACAGCAACAAGTGGTTGAAACATCTCAAAATAATGTTGGAATACCAAAAAAGTTTACTTCAGGTAAAATATGCATACGAGGATTTGGTGTAATTAAAATTATTTAAAAATTTTAATTATTCTCTCCTTTTTTGTTAAAATTATAATTCCCCCACAACTTTAAATTAATTTAAAAAATCTTTTTTCAAATTTAAAGTAGCTGAAATGAAAAGACGTAAACAACAAAGTGTTCGTAATTCAAATAATAATGATCAAAATCAATTAATGAAAAGTTCAATTTCAACACCAGATTTACAAGCAGCTGAAGGAAATGAAAATAATATTTATTCTGAAAATAAAAACAAAATAATTTTAAGACCAAAAACTCCCCCACCCCCACCTCCACAAAGTTTGTGGAAAAATTCTATTAATTTACGAGGAACGGAAGAAGGGGAACAACAGCAATTACCTACTCCTTCACAACTTCCTTCACAAAATTCTAATAATAATACTTCTGCTCCAATTTATGCCTCTACTGTTGTTGTTGTTCCTTCTTTGCCCCAACAAAATAATAAATCTGGTAATTAATTAAAAATTTATTTTTTAAAGAAATAATATTTTTAGGAGGAGGACCACCACCAGCCCCTCCACCTCCACCCCCTATTAATTTATTACAAAAACATTCACAACCAAGTACATCTTCAATAGCACCTACTAAACCTTTGCAACCAAAAAAGCAGCCAGAAACTACAAATTCTGCTCCAGCTAGTGGAATAAGTGCTGAAACACTTCGTTCTGTTCGTTTAAGACCTGTTAAACAATCTTCCCCGACAAAAAACGAAAATAAAAATATTCAACAAAATTTAAAAGCTTCTTTAAATGAAGGAAATGAAGGAGGAAAAATAGCCCCTCCAATAGATTTTAATTCTGATTTACGTTCTGCTTTAGCTAGAAGACGTTCAAAAGTAAGAATTGTTGAGGAAACAAGTGAAAGTGGAGGAAGTGGAAATGAAGATAATAATTTAAAAAATAATAAAATTGTTGTTAATAATATTGAAAATAATAATGGAAATGGACAACAACAACAAAATGTTGGAAATGGAGGAATAAATAATAATAATGGAGGAGGAGGAGGAGGAATATTAACTGGGTAATAATTTTAAAAATGTTTCTAGTAAAATATAGAGGTATTTGGATATTTAGTTGAGGTTCTGGGAGTGTCACACGGGAATCGAGATCGATGTCCCGAATAATCTCGATTCCAGATGATCGAAATTTTCTCTAGATCTCTTCTTGGTCTGATTTCTTGTATTAACTTTTTTGTCTTTAGGGTGCCCCACTAACATTCCTCTTATACATATTTATGTTAAATCTTTTAAATTATTAGTCGATATAATGGAGGTCTTAGTCTTCGCGAATCTGTTTTAGAAAATGTTAGTGGTGCTGCAGCCAAATGTGGACATGTTGGAGGTAAAATGACAGCAAATACTTCTTCACATTCTCCACCAGGAGGATTTATTGGAACAAAAAAGGATAGCGGGTAAAATATAGGAAAATATTTTTTAAATT